TCCCTGCCAGGATCCACTCCCCCAGAGCAGGGCTGTGAGCGGGAAGGGTCTGCCCCAGGGCTGCCCCGCTCTGCCTCGAGCCAGCTCTGCCCCAGGCAGACCCAGCATTTGTGCGCTGAGCATTTGTTCTGCACACGTGTCTTGGGCATTGGAAGCGAAATGTTGAGATGGCAGTGAACACTAGCTGAAGGCTCTTCCGTCTGCGCCCAGTATATGTGTGAAATCCAACTTCAGTGTCTTGTTTTGTTTTTTTCTTTATTATTTTTCCCCAGGATAGAAAGATCAACAGACCAGGTTATCAAGCCGGTGAACATGGAGGCATTATCTAAATGGATCGGGCACATCCCAGGGGATGTGCTGCAGGACATGGCCCACATCGCACCGATGCTTGCCAGGCTCGGCTATGACCCCTATGCCAACCCACCCAACTACGGCCACCCCGACCCCTTAGTTGTCAACAACACGCACAGAGTGAGTGTGGCTGCCGTCTGCCTGTGGCGCTGCCACGGGGGGGGAGTGCTGACGTGGGGCTGTGGGTTTCTGCTCTTCTGGAGCAGAAGAGGCTGCTGAACCAAATCTGGAAAGAGCAGGGGAGAAACAAATGCTCTCTTCCTTTTGGGAGGCTGGGAATGACAGACATGCGGTTACACCGAGATGATTTCAAAACAGATGCGTGCGGTAGATTGAGTCTGGCGTGGCTCAAACTGATGATGTTCCCTATGATTTCGTGGTGGTGTTTGTTTCTTCTGTTGTGGCAGATACTGACCTCTCCCTCCCTGATCTAGCTGCGCTTTCGAACCCAGGCGTGGGAGTCGTGTGCTGATCTTATCTAGGTGCGCAGCTGTACGCACTAGACATGCCGGTCTGGGGGACGCGCAGACTGTGCTGTGTCAGTGGGGAGCTCGCCAGCCACTCCTGCGGTCCCGTGGGGAATGCGAGTGGAGGCTCGTAATGCATTTGGGCAAAACCAGAAGATTTTTTTTTTTAGAATATTGACTCATGTCCCTGGAGCAGAACTGGAAGGAAGAAGCTGCAGAGCCACAGACAGCAGTTATTAAACAGAGGGAGTTTCTTATGTTTTGGGGTGGATTGGTTCCTCCCCGGCCTGAGGCTGGACTCTGCAGCCCCCTCCAGTTTTGCATGTGCTCCCTGTGACGGTGCCCTGGGACGGGGTGTCCTTTGTCATACTGGTGGGAGCAGGGGAATGCCTGCAGGTGGGACCAGTCCCCGTGGTACTATGTGCAGATTGTGGGCTGGCAGGCAAGTAGCAGCACTGACCTGGAAGGTCAGAATTGCTTCCCTTGAGCTGGTCCGTGCTCCGAGTGCTCTGGTGTTCTAGGACACAGGGGATTTGGGTGAACATCTGCCCTGGGCAGGGTTAGGGACTCTTTGGGTCTCTGACATGGACCTTTCTGTACTTCTTGGGATGAATTTGGAGAACTGGCATGATGGTAAAGACCGAAATACTCTCCCCTCCCAGGCTAAGGGAGGACCAGAGAACTGCTTGTGTTGGTTCCTGCAGGATGCTGCTCCCTGTCTTTCCTTACAGTCAAGGAGGAGGAAACCTCCTGCTTTTGCCCCAGTATAGCACCATGAGGTAGAACAAACGCCCATCAGGGAATTTCAGCTGGTTCAGGTATACTGGGACATAGGATGCAGTTAATGAGGTGGACTTGCTGATGTTCATAGAGCCACTACCCCAGAAGGGTCACTCCAATTTTCTCTTTTCCGTAGGTTTTAAAGGGGGATTATAAAACGCCAGCCAATTTGAAAGGTCATCTGCAGGTAAGAGTCTGCTGTCCCTTTGAGGGCTTTGCCCTGTTCCGTTAATCCTGGGTGCCTGGTCCCTTGCTCCCTCTTATGGGCATTTGCAGGCTGGGCAGCCAAGGGTGGGAAATAATCCATGGGGATGATGTGCCTGTCCTTCTTGCTGTGCACCGCTCCCACCCTCCACACTTTCGTTGTTGATGTCCTGTGTATTCTGTGCTCCTCAGGACCCTGCTCATTCATCTCTGCCACCTCCTTCCTGGTCTGCTCGTGTGTATGGTTTTGTGCTGTAGAGTTCAGTGGAGCTCACTCATCAGAAACTTGTGCTCTTCATTCTCTTACTTTAAGACACTTTCTACCTTGCTCTCTGTTCCAAAACTCATAAAGTTTTCATTACCATGGGTCTTGCCTGCCTTAGGGAAAGGTGGCTTGTCTGACACACAGGTTACAGCTAGGTCTTCTAGTTCTTGTGTGATTGTGTTCAGGTGTCAAAAATACACTATGGGGCTCCCTCCCTAAAGAGCAGTGCTTGAAAACAATTAATAACCATCTTTTGTAATGCAGAGCAGGCCAACAGCCACTGCACATTGTCATGGTTTAACCCCAGCCAGCAACTAAGCACCACGCAGCCGCTCACTCACTCCCCCCCACCTGGTGGGATGGGGGAGAGAATCGGGGGAAAAAAAGTAACTCATGGGTTGAGAAAAGAACAGTTTAATAGACCGGAAAGGAAGAAACTAATAATGATAATAGTAACAATATTAAAATGACAACAATAATAATAAAAGGAATGACATATACAAGTGATGCACAATGCAATTGCTCACCACTCACCAACCAATGCCCAGTTAGTTCCCCAGTGGCGATCTCCCCGCCCGCCGC